TATATAACATAAATGGTTGGTTGCTAATTTAAATGAAATTTATTAGATTTTAAAAGTAAATATATATATGGTTTGATTAAATATATAAAATTAAATATCTTATTTAAAAAAATATGTCATTTAAAGAGGAGAGAAAGGTTTGTTCTAAACATTAATTGGAGATAACAACAATTGATTTAAAGTAATCAACTGCTAAAGAAGATAAATATCTATGTATAAAATGTCTAATAGAGAAAATTGATATCTAAAATATGGCTTTGATGGATGAGACAAAAATTTTGATTAAAGAAATGAAAAGTGAATAATAAACATTAAAGATTAAGGAAAATTAAATAAGAATAGAAAACTTGAAATAAATTGAATGTCTGATAAAATAATTTAAAGTTTAAATAGAAGATGTAATTGATAAAATATTAATTAACATTCATTCAAGAATATAGACAATTGAATAAGATTTAGAAGAATATGATTCAAAGTCTAAAATATATAAATTTGAAGATGAATTTGAAATTCTATCAAAACATTCTAGTTTTATCTTAGAATTCTCCATATGATATGGTTATAATTCCATTAACACACCTTTCTTAGTTACCTTAACATGGTCTTATATAAACCTATTAGTCTCTGAAGTAGTTTTCTATATAATTAAAGGAGGGATTAAAAAGGTAGCTCTATCTTTTTACTCTTTCATCTACATTTCAGCTAGCATTGTAATGATTTATGACTATCTTTATATTATAACTTCATTTTCCTACTAATTAATCACCTGTATCAGTTATTCTTTATTATCAATATTTTAATCATTTTTATTGAACTAATCTAAGTTGAAATCTCGTCTTAGGTATAATAAATATTAACAATTTATTATTTGATATTTTTTTGTTATTTCAATAGATATATATGTTTTAGCAGAACAAATACTATTACTAACAATCCAAACTATAGATTTTTACAAGTAGAATATTATCATTTCATCTTATGAGGCAAATAGAACCAACAGAGTTTTTTTATTAAGGCACTCGATTAATTTGCGGTGCAAGGCTGAAAAATACACCATATGAATAAATATAAACATTTCTAGTTGCTTTACTTAATTCCATAACCACTTACTTTTTAGATCATCTTAATTATATCCATCAGGTAGCGAGTTTTGATTTAAGATGTTTTTGATTAATTCTGACTCAGTAATATAGATTTCTTATGAAGGATTATTAATTTGCAAGTAGGATTCTATTTTTGTTATTTAGATTTGGAATTAGGATTTGTAAAATACACTAGAACCATTTAGGAATTTTAATCTATTCCTAAAGGTTTCTCTACTCTCGACAATTTATGTTTTGATCAATAGGTTTACCCCCCAAGAATTCTCAACAATATAGGAAAAGTATAGAGTTAATTACCACTCACAGCCAACATAGATTAAATCATTATTAATCTCGTATCTTTAGTCCAATTTTTCTCAATTAATCTTTAACCAATCCCTAACTAAAATTCGTCAAGCTAAAAGTTTATCAAAAAATTTAAATTCAAGCAAGCTCGGATAACCCTTTAGATAAAATAATTTTATATAACCTTGATATAAAATGCTAGCTTGAGTGCTGAGTATTAAATTGATCTATCCTGTAAACTTTAATTTCAGGCTATCAAACTTGTGTAAATGGTTAGGTGTAAAAATTTTTGGGGATAGGAAATGAATTAAAAATTATATATTTATTTTTGATGTAAAAAGCTAAATCTATATTGTCTTTTTAGAATATTGTAGATAAATATAGGATTTGCTTTTTGGTCGAATTATTTATCTTGAGGATTTTATGTATTTTTAAAAATTACTCATAAAATTCTTATCTTACTAAGAGCACTTATTTTTGAGTGACAAAGCTGACTTATTGATATGATCATACATAAAACTTCATCTTTTCAATAATAAAAATATCATTTTAAAAGCAACAGCATTAAATGAAATCAGGAATTAAAGCATCAATAAAATCAGATCGAAGGATGAGGGATAATTTGATTAAATTGTTAGAAAGAAAATTGCTTATTTGGTTTGTAATTTAATCATGAAATGAAATTTAGAATTAGAAAATGACCATAATAAATTAAGGCCTACAAAAAAGTATCCAGTATCAGAACAATAATTAGTTTTATTCATATTTTTCCATTTAAACAATGCTCTCAATGATTTATTAATTTTATATAGAAAGTTAAATCATTTTATTTTTCAACTTATGTATCTTTTTTAACCTGATTTATAAAAATTATAACAATATAATGATTTAAGTTTTATTTATTTAGTATATTGGATTAAGAAAAAATTGAAATAATTTATTATTTTGTTATTTCATTAGTTTGGTTTTATCATATTTTTTTAATGGATATAATAATAAAATCCTCAATATATTATATTTTCTATTTCCAAAGGATCAAAAGATTTGTTTTAAAATCTATTTGATTTTGTTTAATTATCGTATTCTATTTCTTTAGTAAAAAAGTTTGGAATTATTTATGAATTTAAAATTAGAATTTACTCTCCAAATTTTTCCTGTAATTTAAATTAAATTCTTGAAATTTCTTATAATACATAAATTAATTGATAATTTTATTTTGCTTCTTCTAATAAAGCTTATTGCATTTAGTTAGGATATGAAAGTATTTAAATAATATTGATTAGCTTATTTAAAATTTGAATTTATATATAGAAAGTTAAATTTATACTCTTTAAATTTTGGGCGACACATCTTGATAATAGAATTTATAAATAAATTTTCTAATAATAGATTGTTATTATGTGTTTAAATAAAAATATTAATTTGATTATTCTACCAATTTAAGCTAAAGGTTATCCTAATTTTGGGTATGATACTTCTTCAATAACTGCTATTATTCTCTATTCTAAAAAGATAACAACCATAATTTGAAATTTAATTAATTACTTATCTAAAAATTTTAAGCAATATAATTAGTGAATATAATGTTTATTCAAATTCTTTTATGACTATATTTAATTCACTTAAATATATTTTTATATACAAGAATTCCTGAGATCTAGATGTAAAATAATTGATAGTATTTTCATCTGCACAACAACTTCCAAAAATAGCATAATCTTATGAACATTTTTGCTAAAACAATTGAATATTATCTCTATTACTGATTAATTTAATTTTAGTTTTTCAAATTAATTCAATATTATAGGAAAGTTTTATAATTCAATTCTATATATTTGATCTTAACTTGAAAATAAAGGGATTGGTTTTTTATATTTTAGTATTTATAAATTTGAATAAAAGAGGAGTTATTATATTGTTGTCTTTTATAAAAGTATCAAGATCACCAAGAAAATCTTACAACTATACTTTAATGACTGATTCTTCATTTTCCATATTAGTTAAAATACTATGAATGAGAATCATAAATTATGTAACAAAGAATCATTGATTAACAGTATTAATACATAAATTTAATTTGATTGAGTAATTCAAATATATTTTAAAATGAGACTTGTTTTCTTATATTTTCACTAATTGATCCAACATATTTAATCCAATTTTATAACTAACTCAAAACTCTGAAAAATTAGCTCAAGGTGACATAATCAAATAATCTGTTATTTTTATTAAGAACAATCATCACTTTGTTGCATTTGATATTGGATTCAGTTAATTTGAGTGAGTGGATCTATAAAACTTTTATATTTATTATCCTGTAAATAACAAAAATTAGTTTAATAATGGTTTTCTTTAAGGATCTAAACTCTCTTTGCTAAAGAAAATTATTAAACAAATCAAAAAAATATGTTTTTCCTTATGAATTAATTAAAAGAGAAAGAAATGTTAAATAACTTGGAGTTTGTTAAAATTCTAGAAGAACATCTCTAGAAAATTACCACATATAAAATAAATAGTTAATTTTTTAACTTATTAATTAAGGTCAATTAATTAAATACTCGATTTAACACATATATCTTAGTTATTAAATTTATATATATTAAATCTCATTTCTAATAGGTATCTCCTATTTTGTACACTCGATCTTATAAGGCTTAAGATAAATGGGAAAAATTAAGAAGATATTCTTTAAAGTGCTTATCGGTTTACCTAAAAATATTATCTTAAAATTTGATTTTATAATACCTTTTTCAATTTTTTCAAATAATAATAATTTAACATTAGAAGTGGAAATTAATTTAACACTCTCTTGAATTAACAATATGAAAGCATTGATGAAGTAACCAAGATAAAAAATATAATACTTTTCAACATATGGTTATTTTGAGAGATTCTAATTTAATAATTAAAATATAAAACTTATAGAAATGGATTAAGATGGAGTTTTAAATACTTACTTTCGACATGATGTCTCACTTTATCATAGGTATTATTATATTGAATAATATTATGATGAGAGAGTTATTAACGAAGATGTTGAAGTTAATGATAAATATTAAAATTCATTATGGAAAAAAAGAATGCTTAAATTTACTGAGATATAATGAAATAAATTATTTAGTTTATTTATTTTTTCTTGGATTGAATAAACTTCTCAATTTAGTATTGATAACATCTTGGCTTAAATTACTTGCGAAGATATATTTAAACCTAAAATAGAAATCTGTTATAAAAAATCAGCTAGTTGAAAAATCTTTTTCACTAACTTTAATTGAGAAATCTACTTACTTTATATTCGTTATTTTTAGCTAATTATTTTGATATTTATCAACTCTTACATGATTTTTTTAATTTTTTTCTATTATTATTCAAGTTCTTTAGAATTAAAAATCTCTAAATGATTTTATATTTATCAATATTCCTAATTCTTATAGCATATCAGAAAATATTTTATGATTATATACACTGTTAATCTTCTGTAGCTATTATGACAATATTAACCTCCAACTTCATTAAATTTCAATCCCTTCAAATTGAAAAGTATACCCACTGATACTTTAATTACATCAATATGATAAAAATTAAAAATCCACTCTAATAGATTTATTTAAATCCTAATTTATTTTCTAACATAAATAACAATCACTCCTTTGTTATTATACTCTTCACTTCAAGTAGTTTAATTATAAAATGAAAATTCATTACTCTATTCTATCCCTTTTCCAGTTTTTCGTCCTTATTCATCATATTCCCCACTTCCACGATACAATAATTAATTTGGTACATTACATTTATTATTTTTCCTTCATATTTCCAGTATAAGTTCCACTTTTCGACTCTCACACCTTGTTTATTGTACTTTCCTTATGAAGTGGATTAATTCCAATATCTAAATCTATCAGATTATTCTATCCACTATCCCATTTTATGTTCTTGATTATCGTATTCACAACAAGGAATAATTAATTAATATTTATTGATACATTTTATTAGTTTTTTCATCATATTTCCATAGATTTCCCAGACTCCAGTTTTCACATCAGATCTACTATATACTCCTCTCCAAGTAATTTCAGAGTTTTATTTATCAAATTCTATCTCAATTTAACTATTTCTCAATTCTTAATTCTTCTCATTTAAAAAAAAACTCTTACTTATGTATTTAAAATAACTATACTTACTCTAGCATTTCTTTAATTTATGATTCCATCCACTTGATAACAGAGTCTCGAAGATTAATTATAGATCCAGAATCATTAAAAATGAATATGCAGTGTATTGAACTATCTTTTATTAATAACGAATTTCTTTTTATTACTTTTGATAATTAATCTACGAGCCAACTCAATTCCAATTTCTATCATCTTTTATTTATTTTCTTATAATTCCTCTTTTTATTAAATATCTTTGTACTCAAATTCTTATAATGTGATTCTCTCATCGAATAAGATTTATAAATTCTTCCAAAAAGTGTATATAATTATACAGAAATAAAATCCTTTTGCAAAGTTTGCTTGATTGGAAGGTAATTTATTTAAAACTCTAATCATATAAAATATTTAAAGATAACTTTTGTACTGCCTTTTCAACATCTTTAAATTTCAACTTTTTTTTTTAAGTTTTAATATCAATTTTTCAATAATTATTTAATAATCCCTCTTCAGTCACTAAAGTATTCAATTATTGATGCTTCAATATTTCAATCTTTAATGATATTCTCCTTCCTAATAATTTTTAATTATTAATCTAATTCTTTAATTAGCTTTGAAGATATCTTTAAATTTAAATTTATTTAATTACATTTATCTTTTTGTCTTATTAAAACTATTTAATTCAGAATTTATATATTAACTCTGCCTACTATCTCCCTTAATCCTAGTATTGTTTCTTTTCTTTTTTGTAATATTGAATATATTTATTTTTATTTTCCCTAAATGATCGACTAATTTCAATCCCGAATAAAGTTAGCTCTATATTAATTTATTATTTCATAAATAATTTAGCAAAATTTTTCCCATCTTTATTTTCCTTCATTGTTTCTATAAATATAGATGGAAGCTGTTATGACAAATCCTGTTAATTAGTTTTTGCTTTTTTCAGATATAATATTAAAACAAAAATTGAGAATTATTTTATACTTTAATTAAACTTGAGCTAATAAACTCTTTCAAATAATTTTTCTCTTAAATAGGTCTAAAACTATAAAGATTGAGTTAGGACTTAACTATTATACACAAAAATAAATTCTCAAGGCTATATTAACTATGTTGATCATTCAAAATATTGAACACAATTATTTATCTTAATGAGTTTTGAATAAAGATTTGATTTTATTCAATACCTAAAATTCACAGTAATATTATGAGATGTATCAATATCATTAATAACAGATTGGAGCTAATTAATGAGAGAGACGCTATTAAATTTAATATCTCACCTTTTTATTTTATTCAAAATTAAAATGTTTGAGAATTAAGTAACATTGGTTATTTTTCATTTTCAGAAATTTAATATGATTTTTTTCATCTGAAATAGATGTTCTTTA